AGAGAGGAGTGGATCTATTAAATTGCTTTGCATTATTACCTGGGAGATGCTGCCCTCAGCCCTTCAAATTATAGACTGTTTAAAAAATAGTCTATTAGACCAGTACAAACGAAGGTACACACTAGTGCAAACACATATTAAAGTTCAATCTACCGCAGACTCACCAGTCTTATAATATGGAGCAGGTACAGCCATCTGTGCTGTGACCTCCAACCCCTTCACTTGTGTTTTGGGTGGGGCCACCAGGTAGATGAGTCCTCCCCAAAGGTTCCAAACTTGTATCATCTCTGAGGTGACAGGAAATCGCTCATGGACAGACGGTGGTCTCTTCAGGACATCGTTCTTGTGCAGAGAATCAGTTTGACATCCTATCTGAATCTGCAGAAGAAAAGGAAAATGCATTATAAGCAATAATACAAGCAAAAATATAATAATATAAGCAATACCACAAAGTGTGCAACACTGTAAAAAGGAATAACTAAAAATTGCAATGACTGCTCTGTGTTTAAACAACTAAATGGCCTGAAACAGCTTACAGTATCTATTCACCAGAGACAAGTTTTGTGTCTGGAATTTTTCAGTTTCTGGCACCTCGCTATCTTTAGGTAACAAAGTTGCAACATTCTGAGTGAACTGAAAATCAATTGATTTCATATGCTGTACCTTCCAATTCTTTTTGACAATCTGAGGTGGTATAGCGATGTAGGTCTTCATACCAGGAGAGAGGTAGAGACCTGTACTGATCCACTCTTCCTTATCTGAAACACACAATTATAAAAGATGACAGTCAGGGACGTTTACATGTATAAAATATGCATTTAAAAAATGTATTTCACAGTTTTCAGTGTCTACAAAGAGGTGCATGTATTAATACTGTGTGACACTGAACAACAGGCATTGCTACATCATGCTGAACGATGCTGTACAATTTAAATTTGTACCTAAATTCAAATAACCACATTCACATTTTTGAACACAGCAGTGAGATCTGACCTGCTGTATCAACATCAACCTTGATCCGGTGGTTATAGACAACAGGCATCATTGGGTTGTCCTTGAT